CTGAACACTCACATCCTTTTAATTATGTTTGAAATTATGAACATTGCTCAACATCATGAAAATTAAACCTTATTTTCAATAAGCAATCCTGAAAAATATTTGGGGGTGCTTAACTTTTTTCCAGGTGTATATATAAGCAATTACATTGTAATTGAAGGAATTTTTCTAACTCTTATAAGTTAACATTTTAATAAACTGAAAATGTATTTTTGATAGATACTTACCTCCACTCACTAAAGCTTTCTCGACATATACTTCCCTCTATAAGAGCAAATTTTCACTTGACACTAGCTTTGATACTCCCACTTATTTCTGAATACTAACATGCAAATAATCATTCAGCAACCCTCCACCAAGGTGGAGTATTGTAACTAGCGCCATCTCTAATCTTGCAACTGTTAACCACTTTAAGATTGGTCAGATCACATCAAACCAAACAGGAAGTGGGAAATGTAAGTGGAGATAAGTATCTATTGGAAATACATTTTCACCTTAGAAAAATGTTAATTTCCAAAAAAATATTTTACATCCGTTAAGGAAGTGCCCATATGAAAACCATGGGGTGTGAGAAAGAATTAAAAAACAGCACACCTGTGGGAGACTGCACCACTTCTGAGGCAGGTAAACTTTTCACCCTTTAGTAATGTGTCGTCAAAAAGGGTGGAAACATAGAGGGACCCAAAGAAAAATTACAGAAATATTGGGACCCCCTGGTGTAGAGTAGCTAGGCACAACATACCATAAGTGGGAGTTTAACCTCAACCAACACCTGGAGGCATCAGGAATTGTACCTCAGGTCCAGGGTAGGAAGAGGGTCATCTAGTTTTCACCTCAAAAATGGGTACTGTAAGGGAAGCTGAGCTTCCATAAGAATTTGCCTCTGCATGCATGCACCTTCAACACAACCAACACAAGATCCACCAAGAACTGACATATGGCAGATGGTGGAGATCCCAGGTGGGTGTTTCTCTTCAGTCCAAAACCTGGTGACACTGAGAACTTTTCATCCAGTCCGTGGCAGGAGGAGAATACTTAGCCTTACACAAACAAAAATTCACGTCTTGTCCAGCTACAACCAACATCAGACCCACTGGAAACTGACATCCAGAAGACAGTAGGAAGAGGGACTGCTATTTGGTGTTGCATCTCCCGTCCAAATTAGGAATTTATCATCCAGTCTATGGTAGGAGGGTTCCAACCAAACACATGAGAATTTATGTGGCTGGTCTGGCTCTAACCAGCACCTGATCCCTGGAAACCAAGATCCGGTGGATGGTAGGAAGGAGAGTGCCTCAGCCGGAGGGGCACACTGCAATATATGGCAGAGTGATACACCCAACACCTGGTAGCAACTGGAATTATATGTCAGGTTTGTAGTAAGAAGGGCATCATGCCATCTACACAAGCAGAATGCCACTACCCTACTCTCAACTGAGTGGTATCGTGCACATTCAGTAGGACAGAAAGCTTTTTGTTAGCGGAGGAAAGATATTGTTTTGGAAACAAAGTTTTCAACCATAATCTACAATAATAATATATATGTCTATAATACAATATTTCACAGTATCCTACTTATTTGTTCTGGAAAGATTTTATGAGAAGTATATTTTAAAAAACCTCCCAAGAAGAATCATATCGTTGATAATCACAGACTGTCATGTCGTAAAAGTAAGTGCTTTTACACCAATAGATTTGCAGCTTTTTTATTGCTTGTGGTGCTGCTGTTTGTCTTCATTTTATTATAATTTTGCTCATCACTGCTCTACTCTGTCATTTAGTCCTACTTGTAAAACAGAAAGCAACCACGCCATAGTGATGGTATAGCTGAAAAACCCAAAAAAAGCAACACTTACTGTATTTACCTGAATATAATGCACACTTTTTTCCCTCCAAATACCTCCCAATTATTTTTGCTCACATTCTATTATGTTAGGTATTTTACTAGAAGCTACCACCAAAAATCATAAAAGCATCATTAAAGTTTTCAAAACATGTTGCATATCCAATGCAATGGATGGGACAGATGATGACATGCTGTGGGAATCAAATTCGGATGAAGCAAAGGTTCATGGAAGTAAATCTGATGAACACGATGAGTCCGATGGTAAAGACAATTCTAGCAATGATGACGATTTATGTAAAGATGAATGATTAGCTGCTTAGTGTATTACCACATATAAACTTTTCAACAAAGTTTGTAAAATTGACACGTAAAAAAATTTCAATGAAAGACTGCCAAAAATGTTTAATACATCGATACTTGTTTACTGTATTTAAATACTATTTAATACATTTTGTACAAATGATGTGCAAAAACAAATTTTCTTAAATTTAATCTTTCAAAATTGGGTGCATATTATACTCAGGCAAATATGGTAGATTGAAATCACATTGTTATGGTGAATCACAGGAATTGAAACACTGAATTTGGAGAAGTTTCCTAAAGGTGAAAAGTTCTTAAAGCTGGGTCATTGACTGGATGTATGAAGAACTAAAAAGTAACATAAACTTGTAAAGTTGCCTTTGTGTAAGACTGTATGGAAATCTATAAATAGGACACGAGTTGATAGAAGTCTATTTGACAGTTTATAGTAAACCATAAAACAAATTTAAAAGGTTGACTATTTTACATATTGTATGGAAAATCATAACTGGGATGTATATAAGTTTGTTTGGATGGCTAATTGATAGGCTGTACAAAAAAGAAGTATACGTAAGACATAAGTTTGTAAGGTGGCTACTTATAATAGAGTATCAAAAACTATACAATGATGCATAAGCGTTTAAGATTGAATATTTGATAGAACATTTAGAAATCTACAAAAATAATATACATTTGTAAAGCCTTTAAAAAAAATTGTAATACAGAAAACTGCAAAAACGACAGGATTGTATAAAAGCCAATTACATGTATAAAAATTATATGATAAAATATGCACCAAAAATTCATAAAAATGCAACATATGTAAAATACTGCAATCAGAAAGTCAGAAGAAGTGATAGTAAAAGTCTGAAGATACTTAAAATAATGTGTAATTATGATATACATGTCTTCACCTCTTACAATATCCACTTCTAAGAACTGAAGAAAATATTAAGTTTAATATTTCCAATTATTCTCTAACTGTAAAATAAGATGATTATTATACTTATGAAACAATAAACATTATAATTATAACGATCCTACCCACGTTGTTCAGATTCCGTAGATGTAGGAAAAATAAAGCTAAATTCTTCAAAACCTAATCTAGCTCATAAGACAACTTACGCTTTTCTGTAATGCACTGTATAGCCAAGAAGCGATTGTTGGTCACCCACTTTCTCTTTGAAATTCTCCCACTTGATTCCAGCAACATTAGAGCATACATAAAAATAAAGCTAAATTCTTCAAAACCTAATCTAGCTCATAAAACAACTTACGCTTTTCTGTAATGCACTGTATAGCCAAGAAGCGATCGTTGGTCACCCACTTTCTCTCTAAAATTCTCCCACTTGATTCCAGCAACATTAGAGCATACAAGCCAAGGAAAAACCTGCAGTGATGTTACATTACCTGGAAGATAACATTAACAAATTTGAAGAGTATTTTACAATAAACATGTATTTACTCAGTTCACTTAAAAATAAGAAAAAAGGTAAGAAAAAAAAAACTTCTTTTCCTCCAATTTCTCATATAGTGAGCTGTAGCAAGTTTTTCAGGTATATTTACATTTACTTTTAAATATTTCTCTGTCCACTTTAAAAATATAATTACTGTAATTAAAAGCAAAAGCACCATAGCAACAATTGTAATCAAATATTTCAAAATCTACAAATTCCATTATCAGTGATCTGGAAAAATATATTTGCTGAAAATTTGAGTGAAAAAAATTTAATTGTACAATGATTTATGTAGTGGAACTTAACCAAAAATTAGAGGATGAAAAATAATAAAAATACATATTTAATATTGCACAGACTCCATCCTCAGTAATGTAATAGAAATTTTTTGTTTGTTTTGTTGAATTTCCCACAAAGCTAGTTAAGACTATCTTTGTTAGTCATCCCTAATTTTGAAGTACGACTAGAGGAAAAGCAGCTAGTTAACACCATCTACTGCCAACTAGTGGGTTACTCTAATCAATTAACAGGATTTGATCATAACTTATAACACAACAACAGCACCAGAGTGCAGAGCATGATTTGTATTTTGGTAATGAAGCGCAATAGATGGAACCTTAGTTCACATTCCAGCATGCTAACATAGAGCCATGCTTGGTCTATTCAGAGAAACGGGAGATGTTTACAATACTATTAGACCATCTAAAACAAATAAACCGAATAAAAAAATTATAGACAATATTGGGAAATTAAAAGATTTAAGTGAAAAAGAGCTGTGAGTGCAGGAAGGCATTCTTTAACAGTATGTATAAGAGCTTGGTCATTTTGACCAACCTTGTAATCATCATGTAACCATAAATTATACCTACTATAACTCTTGATGTACTAAATGTATCTTCATGAAATTTAGCAAGCTTTTATTAAACATGTCTGTTGTACACAAAAAATTAGATTTTTTAATCATTTTTTTACTAAATATTTGTCTGTGAATTTACGAAGCCTTTACTGTGTTAGTCTGAGTGAAAGGTGATTTCTATGCTTTCTAACTAAGACAAGAGGGTCTTCAATTAGCTTCTCAAACTGAACACCATGAGATAACTTTCAAACTGAAGATAAAACTGACAATACTCTGTCCAGAAAACAACTTATGAACAATATAGCATAAAACAACAAGGAAGATTACTGGCAATTTGTGAAAAAATGTGCATGATTTTCTAGTTTATGAATCTGTAGACAAATAAGACTGAAAGCTATAAAAATTAGATTTTGCCTTAACCCTCTCTCCCAGTCATCTTTTTCTGCATGTCATGAGATTTTAGCAAGTTACATTCAAAATTTAATTAAAATTATTTTCTTTTCATAGTATACCAATATGTATAGTATAAAAATGTAGCTAACAATACATATTTTAATTGTATACAAGTTTTAATTTCTTAATTTTATAAGGCAATACTTAAAAATAATCCCGAATTCCCCTATTATGAGAATTATTACATTTTCTCTCTAAGCATCCCCTGTTTTTAATTAATTTACCATCCCTTCAAGATGTACAACATTTAATGTAAATTATTCATTATAATGTTATCATCGCTCAAGCAAAACATAATTTACATAGCCTAAAATCTTATTTGGTTACAGAGCCATGAAATAGAAAATCAGATCCTTCTTGTCACATCCTCTGTTTCAGAAATTGCCAATATTTCTCTGTGACATTCAATACTATATTATTTATAATCAATAGAAAGCCAAGGTTACATCTATTTCTGTATCGAGAATAGTCAATTGTGATTTCAATACAAGCTTTATTCCCATGGGAATTACATTGACCAGCTTAAATGAATTTGTAACAGGTCTTGTTGCATAGTTAGAAAGTCAGAAATATTATTGTACTTACAGGACACTGTCTGCTTTGTAGGTGTTATTATATTGTGTCCTTTGGTGCATTATCTAATTAAATAAAAAATCATTTAGCACATAACTACCATTAGTATAAAAAGCAGGGTTAAGTTTCAACAGTAAAAGAAAAAAAAAAAAAGGAAGGCGGCTCAGGTAAGTAATGGTTGCGAATGGTAGTTAAATGCAATAAAACAATAAAATTCAAGTATAAAAAGATGTATAATGTTAAGAGTAAAACTATTTAGGATAAACAAGTGTAGTTTCATCTTACAAACTGAAGTCATTCAAGAAAGAGAAAAAGGGTAATTTCATACAAATTTCAATTTTGTTTGGGTGGTAACGAGGTTATTCAAATGAACCAACCTTCCATAAAGTTAGGATAGAGAAAATAACAAAATATAATGTTTTACTAAAAGAAAAAAAAACGTTTGAAATTTATCTATATGGTTTTAGAGATTATGCAAGTGCAATTTTAGATTTTTGAGACAAAGCAAAGTATTTTTATTCTTAATCCAAAATGGACTAGTATGGAGAAATACTATAAATATATAATCATGGACAAATCTTTAGTAAAAATACTTCATTTAAAAATCTGATGTTTTGTGTACAAAAGACTTCTAATGTTTACTAAAAGTCTGCCATATTTTGTGAAGATGCACAAACTGTATTAAAAGTTATATGGAAACCATGATGAATACAAATTGGTTATGAGGTTGGTTGAATCGACTGACCTTGTAATGGGAGAGCTAATAAAAAAAAATTTTATAATTATCCCTATGGATAAGGGTTGGTCAAAGTACACAAGCAACAACCTTTTTTACAGAGTTACTTTCAAAATTTAATTCCACTACTTTATTAACAATGTACATCAATAAACTTATACTTAAAATATAGTTTATAAATCAATTTTGTATATTATCTAAGTTTTAACTGCCTACTTTCAAAAGAACATAATTCTCAGTCTAAATCTCTGAATCACATAGCCCAGTGGCTCTGTTATATATCATTGTTAGATTTTTGTCTCTTCTGTTGTAAGTGCTTCAGATTCTTCAACCAACTAGAAACATATGCTATAGATATTGACAAGTCAGAATATAAAATTACAGTTTTATATTTTATTACTTGACTGATATATATCAGTATTTGTTCTGCCATGGTGTTTCCATTTTTGTAAATTTTATAACATACTAACCATACACTTATTTCATACTAAGAAGAATCATCATAAATAATACACATAAACATAATAACAACCCACATTGACACGACCTCTTATATTTTCTGTCGTTTAATAATTGTCCATAATTCTCTCAGACACTGCCATTGGACATGTTTATTGGATAATAAAAAGAGAAACTGTACACTTATATATTGGATGATTGTATGTTTTCTTTTAGCAGTAAATGTTGGTAATTCACTGTGAGAACTCAACTGGTTTAGTCTTAAAGAAGTTGTTTTGAACAGTAATGGATTTTTTTGAACCTATCAACAGATTAGTTAGAAAATCAGATGAATTACAGTAATTTTGGGACATTCTATTCTAGTGTCTGATATATTTTTCATATTCTGAAATGCATATAAATATTTTTAAACAGCCAATATAGTGATAAAAAATAGGCTTACTAATCCAAGCACCTGAGGTTAAAGGTTTCAAGGCTAAAGGAAGTGCTAAATTTCTTGGTTTTATATATATGATATTTATTTATTGTTATATATTTTTAACTAAAGTAACTAAAATATAAACATTCGAAATTTATTAGGTTAGATAAAATGAAAAAAAAGTCATGTAAAAGATTTTCCCTCAAGGAACACATGCAGATTGCCATCTTAGGACGTAAGCTTATTCATATACATTGATAATGTCACGGTGTTTCCTTTTTTTTAATCATTAACTTCTGGTTGTTACCTTGTGATTCTATTCATTTTTGTAAATTTTATAACATGTTAACTAAACTCTTATTTCATCCTTGATGAATCATGATAATTTTACCATTTTCAGATGAAAAAATAATGCACATAAACATAATAGCAACAAACAAGACACATTGCAACTTTTGAAAAGATTCAGATAAAAAATGTATTAGCCTCCAAATTTTATGATTAAATGTTTACTATAGGAATCAAGCAAAAAACGCTATTTATTCATTCAGTGACTCTTCTACATGTACATATTATACTTACCCCTCTTTGAACTGTAGGAGTATCAATGACAAACCAATTTATCTATTTCTCGTAGAAGAAATACTGAATGAAATTCTAAACTTAATAAATAGTATCTAATTCTTTTAAAATTCATACCAGTTGATAAAGTATTTATATTATTATTAATGGTTTGAAATTTCCAACATTTTGTTGTGAGATGCTGTTAAAAAAAGAACAACAGAATATTTCATCTGTTTGTTTATGCAAAGTTATTTATGCTATCTGCTGCTGTACCTTGCTTTGATCTGCTAGCAGCATGCACAGTCAACTCTTGGGCTACTCTTTAGAAGTAATAAAAAACATTTTGTAAATGTAAAATGATATAGGGATGGTAGTGCCAAAAAGAATGCAAACAAGAATATAGGAATGATATAGCTAATATATAGATCATCCCTACCTAACTTTCAATATAAAAAATTTTATGTTACACTATAAAATACATGCATAAAAAATGGTTATGAGATCGATAAATTCGACCGACCTCATAGCGAGAGTCTGTAATAAACAAGACATATTTTGACTCAACTAGGTTTTCCTTGTACGTAAGTCATAGGCTCTTAGTTGCACTATATTGATGCCTACCTTGACATGACCAAGATATTATCATAAACAAACAGCATACCAACAGTCAGAAATTATAACTTCCAAATGCAATAATATTAAAGTTAAGTATGCATTTTACGGTGTAATATTAAATTTTAATATTGATAGTCAAGTAGGAATGATATATGTATAGCTGTATCATCCTTATATTTTTGTTTGCATCATTTTGGCACTGCCATACCAACATCATTTTACATTCAAAAAATGTTTTTTTATTACTTGTTTTGTGACACATGTTCCCCTGACTAAAAGTTAGTGTATTCTTTGAATGTGTGTAATAAAATTTAATATTATGTGTACTGATTTTTTTGGTACTCCTTCACTTCATACATAATATAGGGACTGGCTCTCTAAAGATAGCAACTGCATAGCATACAAAGCACTGATTATTCTACACGTTACAGTCATGTAATATACATCTATGATTGGCTGCTGGTAATCATTTTAAAGGCGCAACAGATTTCTGTAAAAAAGCTAACTTCAAGGGGTAATGATAGCATCGTTTACACTAGAATTATGATTTTTTATTTAATACTATTAGTTATTATGACTAAGTGATGGCATCGTGCTCTGCCAAGAAACACAGAGAATGGATGTAGGTTAAACTAATGCTAGTAATAAAGTAGATGTACAGTTATCTCAACTGAAACAAGAAGAAGAAAGATGAACAACATGGTGGTTTGATCACTTTCTGGTTTCATATCTTAGCATTGATTTCTGGCCTTGTTGGGTAGAGAAACAAATAAAAGTGAGTGGCAATCATCTTTTAAAGTAAAACTGTCTATCACTGTTAATTTTTTAGCATGTATATATGTATTATGAATACCAAGTACGTTGGCCATCCCTACATATGGAGTCTACCAACTCTTAAGATAAACAAATAGTGGGATTGATTGTTACATTATAATGCCTCCATAGCTACAAAGGTGCAAATATCGAATTTTAATCCCGTGATTCATCTTAGAATTCAATTTTTTTTTTATTGTTTATCAGGAAGTTCTGTTTCATATACACAGTCTGTTTCAATTTGACTGTAAAAACTGATTTATCAGTGATGTTGGACCTTACGTTTCAAAATGGCATCACCAGTACCTTTTCAGGCTAGGTATTGTGATTTTTCTTAATAATATTCTTTGTTGAGATCAATTTGTATCTCATGAACATAATTTCTTTTCAGTAAATAAGATATTTTATTTGTGTGCAATAATATGAAATAAATTTGGATTTCACAAAATATTTTGCTATAACCTACCATACTCATTACCAGATCATTTATAATAGAAGATACTTTCTGGAGTTTTCAAACAAATGTAATTTATCCCAAAAACAATTCTAGAAATGATAAGGATATCTAAAGAAACTATAGAAAGAACTCTCAGGTCTGCACTTTTGTTCCAAAGTCTTCTAACTTCTCACTGATTACTACTCAAACCACTTTATTTATTTTACATTGACATAAACTGTTTATAATTTGCTCTATCAAATTATATTTGAATATGGTCTATAGCTATTTTTAAAGCTGTGCTTCATTAGTGATTATTAAGACCACATGCTGTGAGATCATACAAAAGTTGCAATGAAGGACTGTAGTTATAAAATCAGTAACAGGGGGAAAAAAAAATCACTTTAGAAACAATACATTAATATAAACCAATACTTTGGGATCATCGTAAGCAGCAGAAAAATGTTAATAAAAATCAACTGCTTTATTTACAGAAAGACTCCTCAGAGCTTCATAATGAAAGTAGGAAACTTTTATCTTTACGTATTACAATAAATGAATGTTATAAAATGACAAAATATCATCTTGAAACATCTTTGAAATAAAAATGGCTTACAATGAATTAGAACCATTATTTTTACTTAAATTTTGAAATTTGATATTCAGGTGTGCAATCAACACTAGAAAAGTACACACCAACCATGATAGGGTTTATCTCAACAAGAAAAAGAAAATACCCAATTCTTTTTCGTATAACAGTAAAATTTAAATTTGGTCAATTTAAAACTTACATAATCCTGTTGCAATGAAGTAAGGGAAAAGAAAGATTTTTAGAAGCAGAGGTAAACATCATGTAATAGATATTAACTATATATAATATTTTATTTTAGCTAAAGCTACACAAGTGGCTATCTGCACTTAGTTCAATGTGGAGAACTGAACTTTGGAGTTTTGCATTTTAAGTCCATAAACTTACCACTTACTCACTGGGGGACATAGGTATAGAAGGTGAATGTTTATATAAAATTGAGTGCAATACAAAAAATTTATCATTGATAATATATCCATGGTTCATACAACTTGGGACAGCAAAAAAATAAAAAACACATTTTCCAGCAATAAACAACACTTTCAATTATGTGTGTGGGGGGAGGGCATATTTAAGCATATTTCTAAACAGAATGAACATTGTCATATAATATTTCACATATCAAGACTATCATCAATATCACCATTTGAATTTGTTAAGACATGAGATTATGTTCAATAACGAAGAAAGTGGTAGGTTACTTCTGTCATTATAATCCAATTTGATTTGTTGACACAAAGCCTTTCAACTATGGCCAAATGGTAAGTCTTTTAATACTAATATGGAGATGATATAAAAGGAATGTAATAATCAAACCATTGTTGATAGACTTATCCTACCATGTGTCTTTTCATAAATATACATGTTTCTCAGAATTCATATTTTCTGAGAAAAAAAACAAGGAATTCTGTGAATAAATCACATCACTGCATTTTTTAATCACCGAGTACTTTTAGCAAGTCTGAATAATGTCTATTGTATTCATCACAAAGGTGGAAATTAACATCAGAACTTATATAACATAGAGAATATCTACTTACAGAGTTGTGAGTGATATTACATTCACTTATCAATTAAAATACTTTAAATTAAGCTCGATTTATTATGTTTCACAATAAATTTTAGTATAAAAAATAAAATATTTATCAAACTTCAAAAAAAACCTCAAATACACAGAACTTTACTTTGTCAGTATTATAACTCAATCATGTCAACAACTGTGATCTTAAACAACATGTAGTATTTCTTCTTCCATTTCAAAAATATATTTGAAGCCCATCTGCAATGCCAAACATGACAGATAAACTGCTATCCTCTAACTAAATGTAAGTACTGAGACAATACTGCTGTCAAGAAAAATAAGCTTGTGAAGTCTCCTATAGGTTTATTTGATGTATAATAGCAGTGTGATGAAATTATTTGCAATGTCCACAAAATTCCTGTCTTCAGAACATCATTTTTATATACATTCCAAAATGAGCTGACCACATACTCCATTGCCACTTGCTGCACTTAGTTCCACAGCAGCTGAGGACGGAGCATTACAATTCCCCTCCAGTTTTTCAATGTTGATATTTAATTTCCAAATGCAGTTAATGGAGGTAGTACATGCTTCCATGGCTTTTTGTGCTTATTTCTTTTTGCAACTTCAATCCACTCTTACCAATTTTAGAAAGGTCGGTTACCATTTTGCAAAAGTAAAACGTTCTGTATGCTTGTTTTTAATTTTCATGTAGTTTAGTGTCACTTCCCACTAAAAATCAAGAACTTCTTTTGTCTTTATGATTATCTTCATATTCAGTGAATCACTCATGAAATACAGTATCTCATTTGATAGCTTCTGCTTTACTTCAAAATGCAGCTAGGCTTTACATTAAAAAACAATTCAAGATACGAGGCTAAAGTATAAAAACATGTTGCATTACAGTATTCAGTCTTTTTATAAAAATGAAACCCATTTTCCACACTAGGATATTTTGCTAAAAGTATCATGCCACAGCACAAAAAGTTTGTTATTCAGTAAGCCTAACAATGTAATAAATATACTTTACATCCTTATAAATAATTATCAAATATATTTACTCTATCTTTAACTTAAATACATCATATCAGACATAAACAAAACATTTTATAAATATCTTCTATAAATTTCATAGTATTGAATTATGACAGCTAAATTTCACTTCATACTATTGTACTCTGTCAAAAATCACTTTTGTAGTTACATGAACATTATTTTAGCCCTTGAGAAATAACTATAATACTTTCATAAGATTATCAACTTCATAAAAAATGTGGACTCACATGCCACTCGATCTCCATTTGAACTTGGGGAAACATCTCGATCATCCCAATCCCTAACATTTGAATAATTTCTTAATTCCTTGATTTTGTCTACACACAGTTTGGGGTTGAAATGAAAGAAAATTTTCCCTTGACCAAACTGAAGGGTATAATTCAGAATTTTCCAGTTCCATAAGTCTTCCAAATTTTGGTTGTTATATACCAGCAAAGAATAGCTACAAAATAAAAAAAAATTAAATTAGTATTTCCATTCAAACAGTGGAAGAAGTTATAAAAACAATTAGGATGAAAAATGTTATTCATTTTCCTGACAAATTCAAAAATCTTAAACAATCAGACCTGACTAAATACTGAGACATAAAAGCACTTAAGCTAAATATTTGAATATCTTTCAATAACAACAAAATAAACTAACCATATGAAAGATTAATAAAAATTTACATTTTTACAAAGTATACGGGGCCAAGGAAACTACACTGTCATAACTTTTTATATACATATTACTATTTGTGGAAACTAGCATAGAAAAGGAGCATTTAACTGTTATTTATATACATACATATACATACACAGAAAAAAAAAGGTTTTCTTTCTGACAGTACATAAAATAGTTTGACAACCATACTTTTCATGTTATCAAAATCTGAGTGCCTAGAATCACTATTAGTGAACAATAATGAATTTTCCATATTCACCATGTCACAGAGTTGAGGGATATTGATAGACACTACTCTGTGGAACTATGACAACCTTTCTACATTTATAATTTTGTAACATGCTAAGTCATGGGTAAGTGCCTGGTACTCATTCATATTAAAATAATCTTTAAATGTTCATAATGACATAATATCTTGAGTTCAGAGGTATAAGCCAATAATACTGATATCAAAATTAACTCTACCTGCTTTTCATATTATAACAATCTAGATCACAAGTAAAGGTCAATCATATTACAATAACCATTATATATCAATCACATCACAAGTTTCTCTGTTTAGACAAAAAGTGATTACCATCAAATGAAATATAACAAAAATGACTATACATTCTTCACTTCTTTAGGTTCTGAGTGAAACCAGAGGTGTGAACCAGTAATAGAGTGACACCTGAGTGAAACTAGAGGTGTGAAACAGTAATAGAGTGACACCCGAGTGAAACCAGAGGTATGAAACAGTAATAGAATGACACCTGATTGAAACCAGAGGTGTGAAACAGTAATAGAGTGACACCTAAGTGAAACTAGAGGTGTGAACCAGTAATAGAGTGACACCTGGATAACCTACACATCTTGCTGACTGGGTTCAGGAGTAAAGTTAACATTCATTCAAATTACACTGCACAATAAATAAAAAAAATAACTGGATTTCAAAATATTTTTATTCTGACTAAGCAAAACCAATATTATACAGAGGTGTTTATGGCTGGTTTTATCCTTGCATTTTCCATTTAACTTTCCAGCTGTTTCATCCTGGCTTTAATGATCTTTATTGATCTCACTGTTATAACCCTTCTGTAGTTCAGAAGGTTTTCTCAAACTTGGTTTTGATTAATTGTATTTTTCTTAATAATTTTCTTATATCCCATGTCTCATTCTTGTAATTTCTCTGTTTACGTCCTGTCTCTTTGTCTTTTAACTTTCTATTTCTTTCTTTATGACCATCTTTCAACATTAGTTGAGTTTTGATTTTATTTTTACCCAAAATAATCCTACAACTGAAACGAATAAAGTAATGTTTTTTTTTGTTGGGTTGGATATTTTGGAATATTTGGTCAAAAAAAAACAACACAAAGTCCAGTCTTCTAAATGATTACAAGACTGTTTTATTTCTTGTGTTACAATTCCTATGACATAATTAAATAATATTCACAAAAACGACATTAACAAATAAAAACTAACAAACTCGTTAGCTCAATGATCAACCATAATTATAATAATTATAGCTTAACTCAAGTTCTATATTGCTCAAATCATTCAAAATGATTCTAATCATAAAGTCATGCCAATCACATGACATGAAAAATTTCTCTGGCAAAACAACAATACAAACGTCCAAATTTTTAAAATATAACCTACAACAATGTAATTGACATATGTTTCCCTATTAGTGCATTATTAAGAGATAAAAATCTCTTGCCTCTGCTTATCACGTTGCTGTCCATGAATGATCTTCAAATTTTTCAGAAAGTTCAGTGACACCAGAGAATAGGAACGGAATACCTTCAAAAATCCTGTTATTTCTTTTATATACTTCAAATTCTCTTCTAATTCTTCAATAATATTGGCTAAAAATAAATAAAATATAAAATTCTTTGATATTGAAGTATATAAGAACATAGAATATAACATAGAGAACAATTATTTTTTAACTCTCTCACTTAGGGCATGGTAAAATTGGCTGAGTTTTTGACCCTCAACTGACCTTTATAGTTTCTATACTATAACTTGTAATATGTTTTGTGTATCTTCACAAAATTTCTCGAGCTTTCAGTAATCATTAAGAGTCATTTGTTAACAAGAAATCAGAATTTTTAATGAAGTATGTTCAATAAATATTTCTCCATGAATATATATAGAGTCTAAGTGTTGACTGCTCCGAGTGAAAGTGATTTTCATGTTAAGATGAAAAATATTTTTCTTCATCTGAAAAATCTCAAATTTTACTTGCGTAATCTCGAAGCTTCCTAAATAAATCTGAAACATTTTCTTAAGTAAAACTTCATATTTTATCTGTTATTTTCTCTACAAGTTTGGTCAATTTGACCAACTTTGTAACCACCAAAAAAGTAAAAATAATTCTAAATTACCCTTTCTTTCTTTCTAGAATGACTTCATATTGTGACATGAAATTAAATTTTTCATCATAAATAGCTTTAAACTCATAACAGTATACATACATTTATATATATAGTTTTTTGTTTAATTGCCCTCTGAATCACGTGTAACTAATATTTATGCCATATATGTTGTAAATCACTTGGTGAAGATGTAGGTCATGCTACCCTATTGAATTACATAATTCACAAGCTGCCCATGAACATACCTTGTGAAAAATTATTATTACTAGCTGAGACCCACAAAACCATTATAGTAGTTTTCATGCCCTTCACTTGAATTTTTCTTATTCTATCATTTTCACACATGCCATTTAATTTATGCTTTCTTGCAGGCATTATGTGTTACATTAATAAATCCTGTTCTATTTGAAAATTTTTTACAAACTCATTAAGATGTTGCTTTATTTAAAGTAAACTATAAAGTATAATAATTGTACTTATATTACAGAGTATGAAACAGTTATGAGCATTCAATGTATGAGACGGATTTATGTGTTGAAACAAAGAAACTCACAAAAGCAAAGAATAAAACCCATGCTACAGAAAAAAAAGGTGTTTATAGCATTCTGTAAAATGAGCCGAAGCTAAATTATTTCAAAGCAAAGTAGTTGTAATGTAGGCAAACTTAACTGAATATTCAGAAATGTGTGTTCACAAAGTGCCAAGCATATGGTTTTGAATGAACTACACATGCTTATTTTAGACCTAAATAAGTCAAGAAAGCCCATAGCAATTGTATTTAGTGTAATGTTAATTTTTTCTTTAGGAAATTACACATGGGTTAAGTGTTGCCTGTTTGAAATACTTCCGCTGTCGTAACAATACTGTGCACACTCTGGTCATTAGGCTTAACTGTTACCTTCCCTTCACCATCTTTTTTTCTATATTAACCCTATCACCACAGGTATCCTTTACTGCACATGACACAAGGTTTAAGTGTCTTACATTCAAAATGTTCTTAAACTATTTCTTATTTATGTTATATCAATTAGTTAGCTAATAATCCATATTTTAATAGTATATAAGTTTTAAGTTCTTAATTCTATAAGGCAATATCTAAAAAACCCTGAATTTCCCCCCAATGGGACACACGTGACAAATTTTCTCTAGGTATCTTTTCTTCTCTATTTTACCCACCACCCTCCAGTAACTATAAAATTAAATGTAAATTACTCACTATAAAATCGTCATTGCTCAGACAAACTGTAATTTTTATAGCCTTCAATTTTGTTTGGTTACGGAGCTATCCAATAGAAAATTAGACCACTCCTGCCACACCCACTTGTCACATCCTCTCTTTAAGAATTTTTTAATAGTTCTCTCTTACATTTAATTATATATTACATATAACCAATAGAAAGCCAAGGTTTTTCTCATATCAAATGACATATTATATTATGTTGTGTTCTGAACAGATAATCATCAATTTCACTTGTAGTACGGGCTTCGTTCCCATGGGAAAGGTAACAACTAGCTTAGATGAACTTGTAACAGCTCTTGTTATATTTGAATTCATTCTAGAAAGAAAAAAATGGTAACTTAGATTTATTTTGATTTTTCTTTTTTGGTGTTTACAAGGTCGTTCAAATTAACCAACCTTTTATAGAGTTAGGTTAGAGAAAATAACAGATAAAATATAGTTTTACTGAAAACAAACATTTGAAATTTACTTAGCAAGTTTTAGAGACTACACAAATGAAACTTGAGATTTTTGAGATGAAGAAAAGTATTTTTAATCTTAACATGAAAATCACTTTGCACACAGACTATTTGAAACAAATACTCAATATATTCAAAGATCTTTTTTTTTTAGTTTATCAAAAATACTTCACTAAACATATGATTTTTTTGTATGTGTAATACATAATATTTACTGAAAGACTGTCAAATTTCATGAAGATATACACACAATATTAAAAGTTTGTAGTATCAAATCTATAAAGACTTAACTAGTACAAAGACATCACATGGTCGGACTGAGCCCATGTTGAGAGAGTTAAAAGATACCGTTTTAATACAAGGCTTTAGCAGCAAAATGTCCAGTTTCTAAGCAACCTCATAATTATCTTATGCTGCCTCATGATATTTTGTATTCATTCTTTTCTGAGGAACAGAAAGTCAATAACTAAAACTATTTTTTATATAGTTACTAAAATTTACTGGTTTTATCTGCTACATATCATTCCATTAGATCTGAAATCTCTCTCCCTTATATAGAAAAAAATCTTCTTATAAAATAGTGATAAAAAAAAAGATTACCTCCGCTGTTTATTTGGATGATAAGTGAGCCATTTATCATTGTACAACCAGACAATTTCTGTGCTGCTGAAACACTATCAACAACTGTCCCTGGACAAACTATAAAAATACAGACTATTTTTACATTTTGAAAATTACTTATTTTTAAAGGCATAATTTAAGTTATTTATATAAAAAGAAACGTGAATATATTTGTAATAATGTCTTTCTAAGTTCTTTATCCAAGAGTAAAATTTCTAACCAGATAATTTTTCCTTTTGTCTAAAAATAGAAATGGTGTCCTTAATTCTAACCCTTATTGAAACTTTGTAAAAACGTACTTAATCTACAGTAATCTATTTACATAAAACACAAAAATTTGTAATCTGTTCATTATCTAACTACTTGTAGGTCGCTGGGCCAATTTCAAGCAAACTTTGTAAGACAACAGTTTGAAACAAGGGGCATGTTAATGGGGGTTCACATCCCCCTACACCCACCATTATTGCTGTTACTGAGCATATATTATCTTTGATGTAAATCAGCATTAACATAGATGGTGTCACATTCTTATACTAAAATAAAAAATAAAATTCTATAATGCAACATACACACAGTGTGGGAGGAGGGCACACAAATGTCTTATATATCTCAGAGAACTGGAAAGGAAACCAAAACATTAAAAGTAAAAAGTTAGTGAAAAGGTAAAGACTTGGCATTTGACTCAAATAAGATATTTTAAGATTATTCAACAAAGAGATAAAAAGAAAGTATATATATATTTCCATTTCTAAATTTTAAACACGTCATTGCATTGTATGTTGATGATAATAGCTAGAGTTAGTGATATAGTACAGAAAATGGAAAATAAAATCTAAACATTTGGCTTAAAAAACTTATGTCCATTTAGGAGTTTCTAGAGATCATGCAAATGAAATGTGAAAACTGTTAGGTAATAAATAGTATTTTTATACTCAAAACAAAAATCACCTTGCAGGTGAACTATTCAGAGTCCAAGTGCAAATAACTACAATAATATCAAATTTTTCATGATTTCTAGTAGAAAAAACACAAATTAAATATATTTCTGAAACTACATACTTTTTGGAAGCTTCTTGTCAACTTTCAAACAATTTTATTTTTGAAACGAAATATAACGATAGTGACTTTAGTTAGTAAGCACTGTATGACACAGTAGTCATCATAGAGTTAAAAGATGAGTTTGAAAATGTTGAACAGAAAGCACCCCTACTGCCATTACTTTGGCCTCTACCTATTCCTGCAAAGTCACTCTGACCATCACACAGTGTATTTCATTTTTTAAGTATATACATATTGAGTTCTTATAAATAAATTGTGTGAAACTTAGGATTTTTGTGTAATTTATCATAACATCCACCCCCCTCCCATTTTTTTTAAAGTTCATAACACACAAAATGGATTTGGTATTTCAGGTTGTAAACTTCATAAATAAAGAACATATAAAACACTGAAATGTATCTGCATGTATAACAGTCACATTTTCGATATAACCATTTATTTTCTTTATTTTTCCCAGTCATTTTGTGGATTCTGTGGTGTTTACATGGTTCTCCTAATGCTTTTCCAATGGTAACATATTAAGCAATGTGGCGACTAAAACCAGTCATCAGGTGTTAGTGTATACTTTTCCTCAGAATATCCTTTTCTAACCAACCTTGAATCAATCCAGGCTCTTTTAGTATACTACTAAAGTTCTCCAGCCAAATTTTAGTTGCTTTATTATTCATCTAACTATTGTCTAACAATAAAAAAACACTCAAATAAATAGTCATTATATTTATAATAGTTTAGCCTGTTGTACCTCTCATTGGTAGAAATATGTCATAATAATTACATTGAAGACCTGATTATCTTTAACTGGGGCACAAAATTATATGACTTAACTTAGCATTTCATACTGCTGTTTTATTGGGAATAAAAATTAATTATTTCTTGTTAGATTATATAATTATGTAAACAGTTGTTGACTGATATTTTTCTCCTTCCACAAAAATGGTGCAAAATGGTAGAGAGGGTTATGTGGACAAGTATACTGTCAATTAAAAATAATGCTGGTTACTTTACGGGGACAAGTAAGTGACATAAAAACAACAGACAAAAAAATTGATAATCTTCTTATGTGATGGGAAACATATTGCATAATTTAAAATATATAGCACCTTGTGTATAAATAATGTTGTGTTGTTTCTGTATTTTATTGTCAGAGTAAGAGGGTTTTTCTTGGAAAGTGAGGTATTGACTTTATATGGTAATGAAGCAGAAAGCATTAATTTGTATTGTACATACAGACAGGCTGCATAACTATGGTAGATGCATGGAATTTTAACTGACAGAAGTTAGAATCTAATCTGGTACAAATGTCATACTTTACTGAAACATGCAAGGTGGAATACACTTATACATGTACATGATTGTGTGCCTAGAATTAAACATATAATTTAATGTCCGAATTCTTTTAGGTTAAGAAAGAATACTGGAATTAAAGCAAGAAAACATATTTGCATACCAGTTAATGAGAAATAAAATGATAAAGACTGCTTAGGATTCAGTATCAGAATAATCAGACACAATGGAAGAAAAATGACCAATGTTTCAAATACATTGCATTTATGTCATCAGTAGTAAACATATATACACAATATTGTTGAAATTTGGAAAGACATGTAAAAAAAAATGACTTTTTCAAAGAATATTCCTTTCAGTAAATTATCAAAAAAGAATAAGTGCATACGCTAAAGAATAACAAAATACTGACAACTAGGGAACATTTGGTCTTTCAAAGCTGTTCATATACAACCATCCTTAGCAAAAATAAATGATCAAACCTACCCATTATTTTTAGGATATTATCAGTTCCCATTTTAAACTCTTGCAAAGAGTTGGCTTCCACTAGCAATTAATAGTTTATAGCAACTCATTTCATAAGCAAGTAATCATGTTAAACCTGTTAAAAAATAAAACCATCTAAGCTCTAGGGAGATGGACTTGGCCCATTTGACTAACCATGTACAGTGCCTTGCAAAAGTATTCACCCTCTACCAATACATTTTGATGAAATACAAATAATGTAAACAATTTTTTTAATGAACTTGTTTTAATTCAACATTCTAATGATCAAACTTAACATTGATATGTGTGAAGCAGGTTGAATGTCAGTAAAACCTGAAAAGAAAATATATAAATTGAAATTTGTTGGTTGCATAAGTATTCAGCCCCCAAAGTCAGTATTTGGTGGAAGCACCTTTAGCAGCAATTACTGCTATGAGTTTTCTTTGGATAGATCTCTACCAGCTTTGCAAAATAGGATGATGTAATTTTTGTTCATTCTTCCTGGCAAAATTGCTCCAATTCTGACAAGTTTGTTGGGGATCGTTGATGGACTGCAATCTTCAAGTCTCACCATAAATTTTCTGTTGGATTCAAGTCAGGACTTTGACTGGGCCACTCCAGGACATTTCACTTTCTTCTTTTAAAATCACTCCAGTGTGACTTTGGTATTGTGCTTTGGGTCATTGACAGTTGGGATGGTATTGACTGGGTGATGTGCCATGTTGGGTTTGCACCAGATATAAGGCTTTGAATTTAGACCAAAAATCTCAATTTTTGTATCGTCTGACCACATAACTTTCTTCTACATATCTGCAGTATCATTTATATGCTTTGTCGCAAACTCCATACAAGATTTAAGATGATTCTTTTTCAGTAATGGCTTCTTTCTTGCCACTCACCAATACAAAAGCTGCTTGGTCTTCATGGATGGTTTGTTGTATCACTATGTGAGTTGTGGCTTGAGCAGATGCATTTACTCTGAAGTCAAGTTAAGCCACTTTGATTACACACATATATAGAGACCATTACACTAATTTTGACCTTTCAAACTAATCTTTTGCACCTGAACTGATTTAGGGTTACCAAAGCAAAGGGGTTGAACACTTATGCAATTGGGAATATTCTAGTTTTCTTTGAAAATCTAACTTACTTATGTAATATCAGCATTTGTTGGCTTTCTCAGTTTGGTGTAGATTGTGTAGAATCCACATATAACATCCCATATGAAAGTTTCATGATTGTAAGCTCGGACAGCAATACAATGTGGAAACTTTGTTTGGAGTGAATACTTTTGCAAGGCACAGTAACAATGAAACTACACATACTATAACTCTGACTGTACTAAATGTACCTTCATGAAAGTTGTCAAGCTTTTAATAATTAATAGATGTTTCACACAAAAAAACAGATGTTTTGAAAAGTATTTATATAAATAACTATCTATGAATTTATGAAGTCCTTACTGAGTCAGTGTAAGTGAAAAGTATTCTTATGCAAAGAATAAAAAATATTTATTTTAATTTTACAGTTTTCATATTTTATTTGCATAACTTCTATAATCTCCTAAATGAATATCAAAAGCTTTTTTCTGTAGAACTTTTATATTTTATTTTATCTGCACTAACTATAGTGCAGGCATTATTGTTGTGACCAAAAAAGTTGAAAAATACAAAATAAAATCAAAAATACCTTTTTTCTAGAATAACTGCAGATTAATGACAAACATTAAAATTATTTATACTAAACTGCCTAATGGTTTCACATTTGCTTTCACTTAATGTTACTGTTTTATTGTTCTTTGAACCATGTGTTAAACTAGCATAACATAGCAATAAATTGCCCAGGGACAGCTTAGGGTAAACAAACTATTGCAATACATCACACAATAGCAGCCAGCATGCATTTCTCAAGCAGAAATTTTTTCCTTCAAGTTTTCTCATCTAACCTAATAAGTTTCTAATTTTTACATATTTAATTATCTTTGTTAAGGGTATGATTCTCCAAGCTCTAGTAATAATCTCTGACTTAAGAGGGTAGCAATACATTTAAATTCCCCTCCCTGGCAAGTAATTTGATTTGTTTAGAAACAAAAGGTGGGTGGAGTTTTCAGTAGCCATTTTCCAATGAAAATCTGGTGTTTTGTGACCAATGAAATTCAATTCTAGGTCAAACTACACAAACTACATCTGTAATTACTCAATCAAAATTCACTTTCACATAGTAATGTGACATTAATAACTGTAAAAATATGACTTGTTCATCTAAGAGTCTGCAAGTTTGATTAATAAATTAAATATCCATTGGTAATAAATAGGCTACTGTGTTTGGTTGACAACTGTTGATTGTGTGCATATCTTAGTTTTTAGTGTACATTTGTTCAGTATATAACTTTATGTGTATATAAAAGTGTGCAAAACGGATATGGAATTATTCTGCCACACGAAACAGGATGGTTTTCTTTTCATCTGAAAAAAAAAAGTTGAAAGAATGCTACTTTGTGTCATTAGTCATCATAAACCTTTTGGTTATTTCTGACAATTAGAAATTAAAATATAAACAAGAAAAACCACAAAATATTGTGAGAGCTATATGTTAACTTTAGCGTTTCCATCAATATCAAGATAACTATATGATAAACATCATATAAAGATCACTGTTATTAGCATGTATAAAGATATGTCCATATGTATATCCATTTGCCCCTCTGACTAGCTTTTTTAGTTATACTGATTGAATTCGAAAATTATTTGACTTTCCATAATTTTCATGTATATCCATTTATTTTCTTCATCCCATTCTGATTACTTTATCATAGCCTTCTATTTAACTCAACAACTGATGATACCCAACATCAGCCACAATTATAACTTCAATCAATCATTTTAACTTTGTTTTTGGTTCTGCTGCTGAAACATCACATTTTCTGAAATGGTAATCAACAAAAAGATGGTTATTTTCATTAAAAACGTGAAAAAAAAAGACTTGAAATTAGGATTAACAGCTGTCCTCTTTATATGAGAGATAAGTTGAAAAATATAATTACTTCAAAACACTTTATACACTTTCCCTACAAGAGAAACCAGTATGATATTGACATTTTCATGTGCAATGACACCTAAAACAAGGTGACATGTTAGTCAGTTTTCTAAAGGCTGGCATTATCTTTGATCCTAAGTTGTCATGACATTTTGCAAAAAACAAATAAATCAAGTGAAGAGGTGACAGTTTACTTTGTAGAAATAAGAAGGACCTTTTTCCTTACATTTGAAAAATCCATCAGTTTAATTTGATTCACCCATGGTTTCCTTTACATTAGTAAAACGCATTATATATCTCATACCATAATAGTATAACAGAATACAAGATCATGTATCCTGAGGCAAGTTACAACTACATTCTTCACTTACTAGTATGGATGCTATGCCTGCTCTGAAATGATAACCAAACCAACCAAAAAGGGGTGGAAGTTGTTCAACTGCCAAGAAACTATATTCTGTTTACACAGTTTCTCAGACCCAATGAAGACAGTTAAAAACCCTGATAGAATGAGAAGTACAATGAAACAAATAATTATAAATAAAATGAGAAAACTAACTAATTATTTTTTAAATGCAGTATTCACAACTATATGTGTGTAAGTTTAAAGCGTATCTTTGTATTTCTTTACAATTACAAACTGTGAGTGCATTCTCTGAAACCTTTCAGATATCCACATAAAAACACCAATGGCTGGTTTCGGTTTGACTGCTAATTTACTCACCATAACACTCACGCAGCTATGATAACGTAAAGAATTATCAAAGTCAAGCCGAGTTATCAATTACTTCAAATAGACACAAAATAATGCTAAACATGACTTTATCCCATACTTTAAATATATGGATTACTGCATTGGCCCAATTACAGGGCAACTCAAAATATAAGGTGACACTCATTTACAGAAACCATGGGAAAGAAAAAAAAAGTGCCATAACATTATAATAAAAAATAAGCAACTGATTTATTCCACAGTAAATTCAAACAGTAACATTTGCAGGCATGTAAAGAAACACAGGTGTTTGATCTGCATTACCCATCCAATTGAGTGGATACCTGTGCTTTTTCCTAAAGCCTATAACATGGTATTGAAATGAAATCAGTTTTTCATTGTAATCTTGAGGTAGCTTTTGGGCTAAACTTATACATCACCTTAGAGCTAGCCTATTTCATTCCATCATCCTTTTACACCATCCCAAGCTTGATTTAAATTCTGTTTCTGATATGTTTACATTTTGTGCAATTTCTTTGCCTTTAAACTGGATAACTTCTCATGTTATTTACACCAAATTTTCTAGCAGTGGTACAATTGTTCATTTTTTTTCTGCCTCATGCACCACCATAACTTTGTTAATTTGACATTTTCTTGTTCCCTGTTATTCAATGTGGTCACTCATTCTTGCACAATGGTTGATCACTAAAATTAACCCCCCAAACAATAATTATTATAAAATTTAAAACAAGCACAGTGAAAGCAATAATGCACCAGCAAAATCAGTATGATAATTGAACACCTGCAGGTGAATTAGTTACAAGAATTAGCAATGATCTTGAACAACATCTGGACATTCAGGAATGAGACAGGCTAGAGTCGGTGGAAGGGGGCTGTGGTTGGCCATGATGATAAGGGGACTATAAATTTTAAAGCCTAATTATTAATCAAAAAACATTGCTTTAAAATCGGGCCAACACAGTATTTGTGGAAATGCTAGTTGACCCTCAATAATTTATAGAAAAATTATATTGAAGAAACTCAGCCATTTCAGTGAGTTAGTTATCTCACTAATCCTAAGATATTCTAAAGTCTACCACTACATGTTGCTAAAGTTCATTCACAGTGAGAAAGATTACATACAACTGGTCATTAGTTCATACTTTTAGGGGCAGCTATTATTGAACTTGCAGTTGGGTTAGCATACAATGTAAGGTGCTTGCCATCTAGGTGAAACAAACAAGTTTCTCCCAAGGATATTCTGTAACACAACAATAATTATATATATATATGCACTTATAAATAGGATAAGATTTCAATTTTGCTGTAAAGTTCTGATGAACTGGATGTGCTGTGGTTGCTAATTTATTCATATCTGTATAATGAAACAAAGGCAAATATAGCACAAGTCACTCATTATAGGCATGCAAGAAATGCTGAGCAAAATATCACCCAAGCTGTTTATAGGATTTTGATGTTTCATTCTCTCTCAAAAAGAACACACACACACACACACACACACATATATAGATAGATAGATAAATCAATGTATGAATTTTGTTCAAGTTGCACAACAAGCCATGAGAAACAGTTTTAGTTAGAGTCAATTTTCATAGAATGATGTGGGGTCATACCCTTAAAAAATATATAACAGTAAATAAAACACATAAAAATCAAGAAATTTAGAATGTACAATAGAGGCCTTTTGCACTCAGGTGTGTGATTTAGTAAACCTGTTTTTTTCACTATGTTTTGGCTGTCCAAAAATAATTCACATAGTTTTCAAATATGCATTTTATAACATAATATATATATATATATATATAGCACTAAAACAGAATGCCCCAAAACTAAGATATATTTCATCTTGGCTTTCTAACTAAGCTAAAAAAAGGCCAAAAAATTTCATTACTGTTCGGAGTAAATTATCAACTTTGTAAACCAAAATAGACAATCATCTGATATATGTAGTATAGAATATGCTCTTTCTATTGGCTATAAACATGTTCAATATCAGTGTCACAGAAAATTATAGAAATTTCTTAAATGACAGAGGATATAGGAAAGGCATGTCAAGAACAGATTGAAATTTTGCATTATGTGATGTCAGTATCTATAGTATATGTTTATAAGTGGTTGAACAATCTGAAGGCTTTATAAGAGAGCAGCAAAAAAGCTATTAATTAGAAGTCTGAGCCCCACTGCATCGTGTGACTCAGAGGTGCAGATTGAATATTTATTTAAATAACTTATTTTGAAAGTAAAAATATAAAAAAATAATATAAACATTTGAATTCTAAACTAATTTTCTATGCCTATGACTCTTTGCTACTTATACTGTAACCAGGTAACATTGCTCTCATCATATTTCATTCCAAAAATAAAACTAGTGGGGCAAATTGTTTGAAATTTAACAACAACTTTTCTAAAATAATGTATTTTCAGAAAAATAAAAAGGTGATTTTCATATTAATAATAAAAGTAATTTATTTTAATGTTACATTTTCACATTTCTTTTGTATAATCTCTTGAACCCCATAAATGAATATCAACAGTTTTTTTAAGGTAAATGTTTATATTTTATTTTCCATTTTCTGTACCATATCACTAAATCTAGCTATTATCATCAATGTAAAGTGCAATGAAATGTTTAATATTAAGAAATATAAATATATACATATCTTTTATCTCTTTGTTGAATAATATTAAAATATCTTATTTGGGTCATATGCGTAATTCCATGTATTTACTTTTTAGTTATAGTTTATTTTTATTGTTTTATTTTCCTTTCCAATACTTTATCTTTTATTATTTACGTTGACACACTTCAACGGGTGCTCACAGGCCATATAATATTATAACTGGCAGAGACAGTTTAGCCCCTGGCAAAAATTTTTGAACTTGGGTAACACTTGTAGAGTGATGTGAAACTTACATATATACTTAGAAAATCATTAAACCCTTCAAATATTAATTTTTAAACAGAAGTAATACATAAGTAACTAAAATATATGTTAGACTATTATCAGACCTATAATTCTTATAAAACTTTACATGGATATCAGTTCATTTGCCAATAAAGCATTTCATTCCAAAAATTATTATTTGTAAAACATGGCATTTTGCAAAATGAAATGTATAAATTTGGTAAGTTCTATAACATTAAAATCATAGACTTATTCACAGAGAAGCTGTATGTCAAATATTACGGCTGTAGATCAAGCTGTTTGGAAATGAGAATGGAAGTACAATCATGATTGTTACAAACTTCAGAAGGCCCTCAAGGCATAAAAAAAATCTTACTTTAAAGCATTTAATGGTCTATCAAAATACATATAGTGTATTACAGATAGTAATTAATACCATTTGCAAATTATTTAAATAATTCTTTTTGATATTTGAAATATTTCAATTCATAAAACTTGCACATGGCTGAAAAATTCCACTCCTTTTGAAATTATCAAATGACACTCCAATCTTACCCTTAGGACAATGGCCAGTACATTTTTTACAGCTGTGTCTATCATCGTCAGCTTCTACGTAGCCCGCCGGACAGTCTTGCATACAACTCTGAAGACGGACAATTGGTTTCCAATAAATTACTTTACCCTCTGTCAATCTTGTTGTGATATTCCGACAAGTATCCTCATTAATGCACCGCCATCCCATATGCTATAAATACAAAACATATTTATGTATTAAAGATAAAAAATACTAAAAACATTCACACATATCTTTTTGATGTTTCTCTTGAAAGCAGAAGTAATTTTAATAATATCAAAAACCAAATTAAAAAGTTTAAATCCTAAAATTGAAGTGAAATTTAATCTTTTTTTTTCTACCATCTCTAAAACCTAACCAAAGTTGTACATTGCTAAGTTCACCTGTAACTACTAAAATGGTGTTATTTTGCAAAGACAATCACCGAAAAGCAATATAATAAATAGAAAACAATATACATTAAGTTAAAATGGCTATATATCTTATTACATACAGTAAATGAAACCTTCTGATAAACAACTAAAAAACTAGCTTGCTTGTAATTCTGGTGTAAGGTAAAAAATTATTTTGATTGTATGCCAGTGTTCATAAACACTGTGAAACTAGGAGCTGTTTTTAAGACTCAAAACAAAGATAAAATATAGTTTCATATAGTAAAACCTTTATACAAAAGTTTTGCAAAAACATACAAAGATATAAAAATCCAGTCAATTTCAACTTGACTGACATTCATTGAAATATTTATTTTGATAGTTTATTATGGCAATTGCAGTAGTTACTAGTTCCAGCTCCCATTCGTTAAGAAGCATAACATTAAATGACAAAGATTTATCAGTTACATAGAACCTTTTCTATCAAAATAGCACCAGGTCAGGCTAGGTAACAATATTATTGGTCAAGATAAACTTATATCTGTTAAATATAGCTTCTTTTCAGTAAATAATGAGTTATTTTATTTAATGAATTTTTAATATATTAAACTTATCAATAATATTGAACAAATAAGGGGCACACCAGTCTTCAAAGGGTTTGTTACGACAGTGGAAGTCACGTGATGCTGGAAGCATGCGTGCTGGAGTTTCTAGAAGGATCATGACTGTTCCTGG